AAAAATATTATTGCAATCATAAAATTTCTTCGTATTTCAAACTATATTATTCAAGGAAGCGTATTAACTCAAAATATTTTAGAAGGCAATTGTAAATAAATTATTTTGGTTTTAAGAAGTATCTCAAAATTTGTTTTCAATTTAACACAGAATCCTGTTTATCAAATGCTACAATAAAAAGTTTCCCAAAAATGACCGCCGATATGAAAATCCAATTAAACAAGTAATAATAATATTTAAAAAAAAATAAATAAATAAATAAAAATTAAAGTCTATTTCTACTTAAGTCAACATAGAAAAAATTTATTTTGGTTAATTAAATTAAACTAATGAACTAATATTTGAAAAAAAAAATTGTTTTTACATCAAGTGTCATCCACTACAAGTTTAAAAAAACGTGTTTGAACTTAGAGGATGGAAAAAAATATATATAAGTATTTGAAGCCAAGAAAAATTCTTTAGATAAACTTACTGACGTCATCTGTTGATGCTAGTTCAAACTTCGTCAGAAATAACGCAGAATGAATTTAAAGTTAAAAATAAAATTTAATTAATTACCGTAAAATCCGGCGTATAACGTGCACTTTTAGCACTAAAAATAGGACCAAAATTTACGGGCGTGCGTTATACGCCGGGTGTAAATAATGATAATCTCCTCTAACCTTTGAAGTCTTCAGTAAAGTGCTGCCATCTATTGAATTGAGCGTACATTAACTTTTCCCGAGAATCAGTCGGGTTTGACAAAGAGATGAAGCCGAAATAAACGTCTCCCAAAATATATTCGGGTAAGACAATACGATGCACTAAAAAAAATTACCCCGAGTAATACTCGGGCGTGACATTTTTGAACACGAGTGCTGTGTTTGAGATTATCTCGGACATGACAGTTAAAAGGCTTATTCGTATGTAAATGTATGGGATTTTTGTCAATTTTTTTAAAGGTTTTTTTTTTTTTTATTAAAGTGAAAACATTTTCTTTAAAATTCGCAATTGTTTTTTTAAATATAGCGAACAATTTTGTAATCCATTTTTAAATATTACCAATGATAATAAATTGTAAGTTTCAGCGTATTTGATGTCATTTAAAACTTTATATGAATTTTTAAAGGAAATTATATATATATATATATATATAGGCTTAGCACGGAAATTCTCCCGGTTCCTTGCGTGCGTATCCTCTCTGAACGTACGGGCCTGGGGAAGCGCTTCTTTCTCCTCCCGCGGGCCCTGAAAGGGTTTTAAACGGTTTTTTTTTTTTTCGCTTAAATTATTGTTTTCTTTCGACACCAGCCCCAACTAAAAATAAATTATATGCATTTATATACGAAATTATACCACAACTTAGTGGTTATCATTCAGTCCCATCCAACGCGTTAGTTCATGGTATTACTGTATTAAAATCCAAAGAAATGAAATCGGTAGCGAAGAATCTTTAGCCCCTTCACTTTTCAACAATCTTTAATATTCCTTCGTATATAGTGTACAGTTTTAACTTTTGTCATAAACACCGATATATAGATCCTATGTAATAAAGCATAGCGAAAAGTGAACTCAGTCCTGAATAATTATCTTCTTGAGAAGTCAGTATTGTGATTGTAAGTCAAGAATGACGAGTTGCATTAATAGAATTTCTATTTCAAAAGGGGAAGTTTATGGAATTTCTCTTATCTCCTTTGATCTCATTCTTAAAATCCTGAATAGAGGGCTTCTATTATTCAGCTTGTTCAATACATTACACTAATCGATAAATGTAATCAAAGAATTTATTCATTCAGTATAGGTAATAATTTACCATGCTGTATTATTTAGATTTTTTTTCTTCTTATGTACATAAACTATTATTGGAAAACTACTCTAGTCCCATTAATAATTCATTGAAACTATCAATAACAGTCGCAAAAGAACTTAGTAAATCGTTTGAAAGTGCATGCATAAAAGAATTCTGAGAGTAAGAAAGAATATATGTTATTCATTTTAACATACAAAATATTGTCATATTTCTAAAATAAACAATACATCTAGAAAAATAGTTTGCTTTTTATTTAATGAAATATCTGAAACTTGTATTCATGTATAATCTGAAAAACAAGTTTTTTTTTTTTTTTTTTTTTTTGCTCTTGTAT